AAGTGACTGCATCTCAGAACAAAGCAAGAAGACTTATAACAATACATAAATATCTAGCACCCAACAAGGTGAAATGCACAATGTATGCTATCAAATCAAAGATCAAAAGTCATGGAAACATGACCCATAACAAGGAGAATTCAATCACAACCAACCAGAACTCACATAGGTGTTAGAATTAGCAGAAGACATTAAGAAATTATTATAACTGTACTCAGTATATTCAGAAAGTTGAGTAGAGACATGGAGGATATAAAAAAGACCCAACTTGAACTGGGCCGGCCCAGTGGCTTAGCGGTTAGGTGCTCGGGCTCCGCTGCTGGCGGCCCGGGTTCGGATCCTGGGTGCGCTCTGACGCACCGCTTCTCCGGCCATGCTGGGGCCGCGTCCCACATACAGCAACTAGAAGGATGTGCAGCTATGACATACAACTATCTACTGGGGCTTTGGGAGAAAAAAAAGACCCAACTTGAACTTCTAGAAGTGAAAACCTACAAAGCATGAGATGAAAAATATACTGGATGGAATTAATGGAAGATTAGACATTAAGAAAAAAATTAATAAACTTGAAGGCATAGCAATAGAATCTATCCAAAATGAAACACAGAGAAAAAATAATTTTTTTTAAAAAAGGAAAAAAGCATCAGTAAGCTGAGAACAACTTCAAGTGTCCCAGATTAGAAGACTGAATATGTCCATTCTTCCCAAATTAATGTTCAGGTTTAATCTCATTCAATCCAATTTATAATAAGCTTTTCTTTTAATGTAACAAAATAATTCCAGAAGTCATCAGGAAAAATAAGAAAGTGCAAGCTGTTAAGAAAATTTTGTAAAGGAAATATAATGGAGAAGTAGATAACTATTTCTACCAAGTATTTAAACATACTCCAAAAAGACAATGATTACAACAGTGAGGTGCTAACATGAGAACAGCTGAGGCAGTGGACTAAAACAGGGGTCACTGAGACAGATCATGGGGCTAATCAGAACTTAAAACATAATTAAAGTGGTACCACACAATTTTAAAAGGAAATATTATTCAATAATAACAAAATTATTATTCAATAATAATTATTCAATAATTAGTCTGGGTTGTTTTGGTAATATTTGAAATAAAGTACCATTTTAGTTCAGAGGTTCTTAACGTTTGGCTCACGGACCATTATGCTTCATTGAGCTTCAAGGTATCTGTGAAAGTGGAGTGAAAAATGACTTATTTTTCCTTCAACTTTCTTCTTGAAACTAAATCCATACGGAGGAAAAGAATCTTTATAATGTCATATTAAGTTTTTAAGGGATTTTACATCATCAGATAATATTTCATTGTCACCATTGTCATGTTATAACACCTAGAAGAGTTTCCCATTAATGAGAAAGAAAGAACATTCCTACCATTATGATTAGGGGCTCTGGGTTTGTTTATACTAAGTTTAATTACAGGTAAAATAATTAAAAAAAAAGAACCATTATAAAGTATAAATCGTTTGAAATGTCTTGAAGCAACATATAGGCTGCTTATCAAGTTGAAAAGCAGAAAAAACATTCAGAATTGGAAAGAGCTTGGAGAAGCCACGTACCCTAGAAATGACAAACATGGTCTGTGGCTTGGAACAGAGGAAAAACCAAAGCAGTTTTGTATTGCAAATAATGCCACCCACTCCAAAACTGCTATTTCTTCTAACATTTGAACATTTTGAAGCAGGTCTAGGAGGAACTGATAACTATGAAATAACTAGTGAAACCTCTGATGCTCTCAGCACAGCCAACTCTGTTTTTCATCCATTACTGGCATTCCTATTTCATGAGACCCCTGTAAAATTTTCAAAAACTACCATCATCTTGAAAATGGTATTTCCAAGTAAATATCTGACTGGAAAAAAACTTCCAGAACTCTGGGCACAGATTAAGTGTCTCTGACATTTGGCTGTCCATTTGTTTTTGCTGCTTCGGAAAAGAAGCTTCAGACGTCAATGTGACTGCTCGCTTTCTGTATCAGCAGGCATGGGCGCCAAATGTTCTGCCACTGTCACTGAATGAAGGCTTGCCTAATGCTGTGAGAAGCATCGACTTCATCAGGGCCAGGCGGCTGAATCATTTTTTCAGGATCTTTTTTCAAGAAATGGGAGCAGAATGGGAACAGTTCTTCACTTACTAAATAGAAATTTGCTAGATTTCCGTAGGAAAGTCTTGAAATGCTCGATTAAACTTTGGGTAGAAATTTTACCTTTTTTAAACAGAAAAGGAAAGGAGTCTACTCTCTCATGGTTTAGCCTACTTGGACAACATTTTTGGCCATATCTTTTGGTTAAAGCCCTGCAGTCAACATCACGTATGCTGTTCAAGAATGGAGAGCTCCTGTTCCATAAGAGAGCAGTCGCTAGGAGCTCAGTGTTCTTCCAACACTGAAGAAAGACCTTCTGCAATCTGGAGTTAAGGGTGACCAAACTTTTTCCAATTTCTCTGCAGGCAGAAGCAAACATGTGCCAAATTCTTAAAGGTTACTTTTGATCAAGATAATCTGAAGATCGAAATGTGGACTTATAATCCAAACTTTGGCGATATGGATGAACATCAATGACTTGGATTTTGCCAAAGATAATAACCTTAGTGAATTGGGGGCAGAGGGAATTATTCAAAATGAATTCAACTGTTTCTCAACTCAAGCCTATCCTCACTTGGCAAAGTGTGCTACAGAATTTGATTCCATTTGCTATTGTGTGCTTTCA